GAAGCTAAGAAAATTTTGGATCCAGTGTTGCAAGTGAAGAGGTGGCTTTTAAATTACTGAGATTAATGAGGTTCCTATGAGTAACTGCACTAAGAAATATTGTAGCCTTATCAGAGGTGTCATTTGTAATCTAGCTGCAATTTGACTATAAGGTATAAATGTAAGAAAATGTTTTGTTCAGGTGCAGTTTTGTCAGTTTGAGCCACACTGAATTAATTTCATGTTTATTGCAGCTAAAAGAGTGTAGCCACAAAATGTGGGATAAACAATCTTATAGCTACAGCCATTTAGCAAATGTTGCAGGTGGGCCTCAGGACTCAAGTCGCTTTCTTGCAGAAAGTGAGGAGTGACTAGGTAGCACTCACAGACCCAATATGATGAAAAGGCTTAAACATAACTTAATGTGGCAGAGGACTTTATGAGACTTCTCTGAGAGAGCTGAAGTTTTTCTCCCAAAGAATTTGTCACAAGTTTGCCATGGATAATAATATTCCTTACTACTAGTTCACAGATTTTAATGCAAAAAGGACCACTGACTATGAAAAAAGACTTTAATTTTAAAAATCTGCCTAAGCCATTTTGCACCACATGAGTTTGCAAATCCAGCTTCCAGTACATGATAGGTCTTAAACTATTCTTCTTCCTGGAGAAAAAAAAACTTCTGTGGACTTTAACAGAAATTTTCGTGCCACATCCCAAGTGCAATTCTTGTAAGCAGAATTCTGTCATTGCAAGAATTCTGCATGTAATGAATCAAGCGGAAATAAACAAAGACCATAAATCCAAAACACTAATGCCTATGAAATAACTAAATAAAGTGCGATTTTGGCAATGTGAAAGGAAAAAGTAAAGACTTAAATGAAAAATAGTTTGGAACATGCAAAACTTTTGTTTTGCATGGGAGGTACATATAGATTGGTATATCAATCATTGCATTATACATAGTGCTTACCACCTACAACATATCCTTAAGGTCACTAATAACTAATTGTGGGTAGGGAGCATTTTAAAGACTTGCTAAGGCAGGGTCACTTGATAGCACTTGTAAAACACCAGATCATAAACTGTGTGTCATACTGTTTACATTCTTCTACCCCTAGAACCTGGTAAAATACCATGATTAAAATTTTTAAGCAGAGGGAACTTGGTTTCAATTCAACTGAAAACCTCACTGAGTTTATCTTTTTGAAAGCTAAGAAAAGCATTTATTACATAAGTGAACTTTAATCTGTGTACTGATAAAAGATTTACTCTGAGGCATTTTGAACCAATTATCAGTTTAACACTTTATTTTTTTTGAGTGTGTCTGTGTGAATATACAGTTGGCAAAGTATGGAGATTAGTAACTTGGTCCCAAAATAAATTGTAATAAGTTGCAGTGCTAGGCACAACTATCTTGGTTGTCAGCTACAGTCATTCCAGACAGGATATATGTAGGCTTACATACAAAACAGCGTTAGGATTGGACTCTTTATTAAAGGTCCTCTAGCACTGATAAATCTCTGGATTAAGGTTATGATGTAACTGTAAAAAAAAAATCACCAGACTCTGAAAGTCCATTAGAAAATCTTAGGTAGAAAAGAAAGCTTCTTTTTCACCTCTCCTGTAACATATATATATAAGCGCGCATTGCTCTGTTCACTTCAGACCCTAAATTCTGAACGTAAACAAAAGCAGACTAGTTCCAAATTATTAGAACTAAAATAACCAGTTGCCTTTCTCGACAAAAGAAGCAAAAGAATGGACGTGATATTTTGCACCCTCTGGCTCCTTGAGATACTTCATAAGGGTTTTTCTACACCTGTCAAAACTTAGCGCACTTATTGTGCATGTAAAACTGCCTAAATATTTCTTGCAGTCAATTCATCTATGAGAAATCTTTAGCAAGTTGTGTAAAACATTTAAAATCTAGCTTTTCCACTTACTAGATAATGGTAACAAGTTATATAACCTACCATAAAAGATTTTTCATAAAAGAAGGAAAAAACAAGGAGCTTTAAATACAAAACAGCCTATATTTAAAGATCCATCAAAGCTGTGTCAGAAGTGACAAAAGACAGGAAAATAGGATGACAATGACATTCTGATCTTAATTCACATAATTTAAAAGTGGCAAGTTATAGTGCACTTTCTCAAACTTCTGGGTTTCATGGATCTTGGCAGAATGCTGCAGAACTGTGCAAAAATAGACAGTGATTGTTAAATAAAGAGTTAAGTATATAGATATATACATCTTGCTAAAGTTTTGCAAACCAAACTCTGTCTACTTCTAGCTACACAAATTCACTGAAAACTACGGGGCAAGAAAGAGCAAACAGTGGTGAAGCTTCGACAAACACTCCCGGTAAAACTGCCCTCCAAAAGACCAGGGACTGATTTGACCAAAAAGCATTTTTGCCTTCTAAGGTGTTGAATACCTTTATGTTTGGAACTCTGTACCTAATGTCAAACACTTGCAGGGTGACAGGGGAGAATGAATCCTGCTGTTATTTTCAGAATTCAATTTTTTCAGATATACTGTTTATTTTATAACTGGACTCATCCTTCTCCAGGTTGTGGATTTGATGGTAATGTACACTGCATGCACCCGTCAGGTTTCCAGAGATGCTTGCAACTCTGCAGAGTGAATTGAATTGTTCCGTTCTTTTCCTGCACAGCTTTCACGCTTTTGGGTGACAGGCATTTAAGCATTTGTAGATTTGGCAGCCATGCTTCTGAATGTCAAGACTTGGTCCTGGCATATGGTAGATGTCTTCTATTTCAGAGGAGTTGGAAGTACTCCTCTGCCTAGAGAAGGGTGCTCATAACTGATTTTTTAAAAGTATTTTTAGTGCCGGAAGATTTAGACAACTGAGAAGCAGAGTTTTCATAATTAGGCAGGTGTTTTATCACCAAATCTTTAAACAATATTTAGAGGTCTACATCCCACTGGAACTCTTATTATGACTCTGGTAAATATGAAAATTCCAATGGAAACTAAATATGCAAGTAGGGTGAAGGCTGAGTATTGTGATACACAACATGTAGCTATTTTCAGTGGTATAAAAACAGAAGATGAGAAGGATGGACATGTTTTGGCCCATTTTGCACTTGCCATTTTAGGCAAAAACTTCATTCAAATGGATTCAGAATCTATTGTCACAAACTACTCCACATTCTAGTGGTAATAGCACTCACCACGGGGGAAGCAGATTTTGTTTACAAACTCTACTTGAGAAAGAGGTGGAATTTCCACCTCTTTCAGCTCTACACAGTGGAAGGATGGATATCATTACCACCTTTATCATCACCACCATGACTCGGAAACAGAGTCCTGAGCTCCTGACTACTGGACCAATTTAAGCAAGGCAAAATCTCAACGGTAAAACAGAGGTGGAATGTCTCCTCAAGGTTTCAGGGTACTGAGCAGCTGCAGGCCTTAGCCAGAGATCTTTAGGCAATAAAGCCAATTTACAACCAAAAATCTAGGTATACATAGTTTAGCTACCATTGTTAGGGTATTAATTGCTGAGTGTAAGTTTTGAGACTATAGATTTGGAATACAGGCATCAAAAATGTCAAGACTAAACCACATCTATTTTGCATGTAGGTTTAAACGGCAGCTCATTAGGAATACAAACTGCTTGAAGGCAAATCTAAGCATGACAGATACAGACAGAGGGAAAAAAAACCCCCAGTCTGAGCCTATCCCTCATATGTGCGTCACTGCACAGCATTGTCTGTAGTGGGGCTAGGCAGAAAAATTGTTCTAGGGTCTTTTTAGGACACAGCACCACTACGTGCAGAGTGCGGTTCTTCCCAGTTATTTTTCGGGCGGTGTGTGTGTGTGGAATCAGGTGTTCACGCTCCAGCTTGCCAGTGACAGCCCTGCGGAAGGCACTCTCCGGAGTTGCTCCCCAGCCTGCAGAACAGCAGCCGAGGCTGTGCAGCCCTGGCTGATGGAGAAACGACGCTGTAGCCACCTGTCCCTTCTCCTCCACAGGTCATTTCCAGGTGTGAGTACTGGACGTTCCGCGGCATTCTAAGGGCCAAGCCACCCTCCGAAACAGAGACACAACGCCCCGTCCAACACAAAAGTGGCGTTACAATGGAGCACTTAAAGGCCAAGCCTTCAAGCCTTACTCCTGCAAGTGGCCAAGGTCCTGTCCCTGAAACCGCTTCCTCGAGCAAAGCCTGTATGGAAAAAAAAACCAAAACAAAGCAAAACCCAAACAACAAAACTTAAATCACGTCGCATTCGCCAACCGTAGCAAGGCACCGGGCAGGGTGGGACCCATGGAGCTGCCGGAGCTGCCCCGCCAGTGCCTTCCTCGGTTCCCCGAGCAGGGAACCAGGACCGGTCCCGCGTAGCCTGCGGGGGCGAGGGCAGGACGGCCGCGCTCGCCCCCGCTGTGGCAGAGGAGGGACCGCCCCGCCTCCTGTGCCTGCCGTGAACCCCACCAAGAAACCGGGAGCCCGCGGGGACAGCGGCATCGCCGCGCCCCCCTCTTTCCCGAGGCGCTGCCCCTCATTAGCGCCCGTCGCCAGTGCCTGCGGTACGAGCTTCAGGCGGAGCTCCCGCCGCCTCCTCCTCCGCGCGGGGCGGTGGCGCGGTGGGCGGTGGGAGCGGCGGCGGCGGCAGCAGCGACAGCCGACACCGGCCCCACGTTACTTTGACTGACGGCTGAACAAATGTTTCCTCTGTTCGAGCGCCGGCGCCGCGGAAGGGTGCTGGTCTGCGGGCCCCGCCTCGGGCGGTGGGCCAGCGGGGGCGGGTAGGCCGCGGAGGGCCGTCTGATTGGCTGCGAGCCCGCATGGCGTCACGGCCCCACGTGGGGCTCAGCTAGGGACCGCCTCCCTCCGCGGGCTCGTGCGCCTATTTGTCAGCGGCGAAATGATGGGTATTAATACCGAGAGGCGATTAGCGTGAGCCCAACGCCCATTGGCCGCCGCCACCGCCCTTCAGGGGCGGGGCGCGGGTGGGCGGTGGGCGGGGCCGCGATGCCTGGCGGGAGAAGTAGTACCCGGCACGGTGGTGTGGGGGTAGAGGTGCTGCCGGGAGGACTGCGACTCCCAGAGTACCCTGCGGCGGCGGCCTTCCGGCTGCTGTGAATATGTATAAGAATGTTAATGACGAGCCGCTGCTAAATTTGGTCAAAGGAGTCACCTCGGCAGAGCGTGCGGTCGGAGCGGCGTGGACCGCCGGCCAGGGCTGGGTGAGGCTGGGCAGGACACGGCTGAGCAGGGCCGGACCGCGCCGACGAGCCGAGCACGGGGCTCCGCTCCGCGCGTCGCTGCCGCCTCTGCCACTTCCCGGAGTTTCGAAAGGCGAGGAGCGAAAAAAGAGAAAAAAAAAGACATAAATAAAGCTGCCTGGACCGTACCGTATTTTTCATTCTTCTCGCTCTTCTTAATTCTATTTTTATTTTTTTTAATTTAAAAAAGAAAGGAAAAGAGCGGCCCAGCAGCGCTGGCGGGGGAGTTGCTGTCCGGGCGGTAGCAGCGAGGACCGGCCCGCCGCACAAAAGGGCACCGCACCGCAGGCACCCCCGCAGCCCCGGCGGAGCACCCGCCCGCCCGCCGCAACCGCAGGCCCCGCCGGGGCGCCGCGCCCCACTCCGCCCGGCGCCGGGAGAGCCGCCGGCAGGAGCAGTAAAAGTTTTCAGGAGGGGAGGAAAACTGCCGGCGGGGGGGATCTCTGGCGGAGCGCGCGCCGGTGCTGGCGTAGGGGCTTTCCCCGCCCTCCTCCACTTCGCCCTCCGCCGCACGGGGCTCGGAGCCCGCGGAGCGGCGGCGGCGCTCGGGAGAACCGGCCGGCGCCGCCCGCTGACCGCCCCCGGGGGATGTGGCAGCAGCCCCCGAGCGTCACGGACGCCGTCGCCGCCGCGCCTCGCTGCTGCCGGCGGTGCCCCGCCAGCCCCGGGGCGGCGGGGCCGGGGCGTCCCTGCCCGCCGTCTCCGCCGCCGCGCCTGCAGCCCTGATCCCTGCCGCTCCGGCCGCCAGCGCCCCCCGAAGCGGCGTGGATGATCCGCGACCTGAGCAAGATGTACCCACAGACCCGGCACCCGGTGAGTGGCGGCGGCGGGCTCGCGGGCAGCGCTCCGACGCGGGCACAGCGGAGTTGTAGCCATTTTCTTATTGTTGTCCGCCGCGCCGCCGCCCCGTGTCGAGGTTGGCTCGTTCGAATTGTCCTCGTCCGGTGCGCGGCGGTCCCGCCGACAGCCCCGCGTCCCGCGGCAGCGGCCGGTGCGGGGGTCCAAACGGGCGACGCCTCCTCCGGCGGCGGCCTGTACCGCCGGCGGCCCCGTCGGGGCAGTATCGCGGGGCGCTTAGGGCATCGCGCCTCGGCAGAGCCCGGGTGCGGGGCCCTCGGCGGGGGGCGGCGGCGGGCGGGAGGTGGCGGCCGAACGAGAGCGGGCGATTAAAAGACCTGCTGTTGCTTGCTTGCAGGCTCCTCACCAGCCAGCGCAGCCCTTTAAATTCACCATTTCAGAGTCCTGCGATCGGATAAAGGAGGAGTTTCAGTTTTTGCAGGCTCAGTACCACAGGTAATGCTGCCTACTTTCTCCGAGCCCCGCGCGATCTCTCCGCTCGCCGCTCTTCCCACCGCTGCCCGGAGGGGCGGCGGGGCGGGGGCGCGGGACTCCCTGGCGGAACCCGGGAGCGGGGCGGACCCAGCCGCGCGCTCCTCCGCCGGCCCCGCTGCATCCCGCCGCCTCTCCCAACCCTCGGGGCAAAAGGCTCCCATGAGCCCCGAGCCGAGCGGTGCGAGCGGATTTTCTTGTTTTCCCCGCTTTCCGTTTTGTGGTTGTTTTTTTCCCCCCTTCCCCCCGCCTTTTCTTTTTTTTTTTTTTTTTTTAAATTCACTTTTGCTTGCGGGGAGTGGGTGGGTGTTCACAGAAAAATATGTGGCTGGCTGGGCTCGTCCTCTGCTTTTCTTCGAAATGCCGCTCAGGACACGCATCTTGTCTTGGCTCGGCCCCCTCGCGCCTTTCATTGACATGTCAAGTGCTGATAACCTGGAAGTGGTGCGGCGAGCTGTTTCATTATCCTTAGGTGGAACAGCGCTGTGTCCTCAAAGTGACAAGTGGCTTTTGGCAGAATTGCTTAACGGGCTTCTGAAAACAAAGTAAACAGTGGAGGTGTTAGTGTTTACCACGGTATTCTTAAATTACCTGCAGTATTTTATTTGCAGTTCTATCACCAGTAATAGCAAAAAGCAAAATTAAAATCCACAACTTTTTGCTTCTTGAAGTGGTGATATGCATTTGATTCTTCTGTGGGTCGAGTGAAATTCTAAAACTCTTTCAAATAAAAAACCTGAAACCTAAATTATGTTTTCATTAGTAGCTTCTCAAACTACTGACTGTTAGAGATAGGCATACTTCTTCTGTGAACCCGTGTCGGTGATCAGTTTTTTAATGTCAGAAAAATACTCTCCTATGTATGCACACATATGCATGCAGTTCTTTTAGGAGATGAGGAAGTTGCACAGTATTGCTTGAAAATGGAAAATTGCAAACCCTTACCCTGATATCCCAGGCAAGAGCTGGAATATACATTTATATTTCTATATTGGAGAAATGTGTGAAAAGGGGAGTAGCCTGTGCTCGGGGGAATGTCAGTTTACTGTCATGAAGTATCCGTGATTTTTACTTTTTATGTCTTTAACAGTTTAAAGCTAGAATGTGAAAAACTGGCCAGTGAGAAGACAGAGATGCAGCGACATTATGTCATGGTAAGCAAGCTGCATAACAAAATCTAAATGTCTGTTAGCTTGGTATACTGAGACTGACATACATTCTGATTGCTGGAGGCGAACAGGAATATTGTAGTAGCGCTGCTGTTGTTGAGGTTGCATCAGTGCTTACATTATAAGTCCTTAGTTTCTGGGGTCTTCTAACTTGTTTGCAGTGGTTAGTATCTGCGTGAAACCAGCTTTTAAGCAGTTGAGGACATTTCTTCCAAATGGCTAGCAAATTATTTGTCGACCCTTTAAAGCCACATACAACTTCCGTAGTGTATGTGGGGATGATGTTTTCACTTTGCTGACCTCTCTCAATGATCATATCTCTCTAAAACGGTTTGTTCAGGATAATATTTTTTTCTGTGATGGGCGTAAACCAAAATTGTACATGAACGTATACAAATCCAAAGCCTACTGCCTAGAAGAACTGTTGCACTTAGGCAGCCGAGTCAGTGTTTCACTACATTGAGAATGTCTGGGACCTCAGCTGTGAAAGGGATTTCCTCAGTGGTTGTGGTCTGCTTGGTTAAATAACGTGCATGGCTAAATACATAATTGCGTGATTGATCCTGATAACTACAGAGGAGCTCTTGCTATGTCTTCTGTTGTACATCTATGAAAGATTAGCCATTTTCTGTATGCACGACAAGTATTAGTCTTGTATTCACAAAAAGACTAAATAACCTTGAAAAAATCTTAACCATGAGCACAAGCAAATGTTAAGGCTCGCAGTTGTCTTTTTAATGCCCGATACGCCTAAGTCTTGGAGATTGTTTGGTATTAACATAACACACTGAACAGAGTTTGCCGCAGTACTCAGGCACAACAGGACGTACTTTCATTGTTTTTTTTATCCCTGTAATTTAATTGCAGGGTTTTTTTGTGTTCATTTTTAATTTAAAATATTGAATAATTGGTCTGTTAGACACTGCTGATTTAGATGTTTATACACTTGAAGCACTTTGTGTGTTTTTTTGGCATCTTTTATGTGTGCTAGGGAATAAAATCATAAGCATTTTCTGCTTCTAATGTTTGACTCTGGTTATGATTAGTTTTTGTGATATTTTCGCTGTCTGCTTTTGCCTTGTTTTGTGGCTGTTCTTTGTAAATCTGACATGAAGCACTGTAGATAAAGCAAAAAAAAAAAGTTTACTCTGAAATACGCTCTTTCCAATTCCAGGAACTCTTCAAGGCAAATAAGTGTTTTTAAGTCTGTGTGTCTTTGTACAGATGTTTCAGTCAAAGTGAATTTCAGAATGGTTTTCAGAATTGCAAAGTCTAATAGAGTAATTTTCTTTTTTCTTAGTATTACGAGATGTCCTATGGGCTGAATATAGAGATGCATAAACAGGTAGGTAGATAATTTATTCTGTTATAGAATGCTCTGTGTAATTTCTCTCATCAGTCTTAACAGAGATGTGTATTCTCTGTGACTTGCTTTAATTGCATACTTGAGTGCATTGGAATTTTTTTTGTTCTTTACTTGCCCCTGAATCTTCCATCTCGTGTATGGAATACAGACTGCGTAGGTTACGATCTGGGTTGCCAGTTGTGCATTGTTTGGTTTTTTTCCACATGTAAATTTTGCACATGCAGGTGGTCCTATACTGCACAGGGAGGGTGTATGTGAGTAGGGATGGGTTTTTGGTTGTATCTTCATTTTTGTCTGGCCTCAAACCTTTGGGGATTACTTTTTGAGAGATAACTACATCATGAGTGTGTATTGGGAAAAGGAATGCATGTGGAAAAGCCTGTTCTTTTTGGTTAACCTAGGCTGACTTAAGCTGGAGCTGCAAATGCATGTGATTCACAGCCATGTTCGTGTTTCCCTCAGGCTGCTTACTTGGACTTTTGTCCAAAACCGGTGTCTTATCATCTCAAACACAAAAGGTTAAATGAGCTTTCTGCAAGGGTGTTAGCATGGAATTATAGATTGGTTTGTGTTGGAGGGGACCTTAAATGTATTCTGGTTCCATCCTACCCCATGGGTAGGGACATCCACTACAGCAGGTTACTCAAAGCCCCATCCAGCCTGGCCTTGAATGCTGCCAGGGGTGGAGCTCAGCCTTCGAGTGCCTCACAACCCTCACAGTAAAGAATTTCTTCCTAACATTTAAACTAAACCTATCCTCTTTCAGTTTGAAGCCATTCCCCTTTGTCCTATCCTTACATGTCAAAGACCCTCTACAGCTCTCTTGTAGGCTCCCTTTAGGTACTTGAAGGCTGCAATGGGTTTTATGCCTTGAACTGTAGCACTTAGGCCAAGATTAGCAAGAGATTAGTCAGCTGGAGCATGGTAGTGTAAATTAGAGTTTCTTATTCAGCAGTATGTGTTTTTCAGCCTTCTCTAGAGGAGAATAAATTAAACATCTGACCTCTTTTCCAGTAAGGGAACTTTTTATATTGTAGAGTTTAATATTGACAACTCATTTTAGCAAGTGATTGAGCATTTTGTCAGGGGTTGCTGGGGAATGTAATCTGCAGAAATAAATGGTCGGATGGGGGAAGAAAGACTACCTTAAAATTGTTTTGTATGCGTTTCTCTTCAGAGTTAGGGATTTGGAACTTCTCTGGGTTGTGAAAATAGGATTTTTTTGTCCCATTGAAAGCAGACATAGAAGTCGAAAGTTTTTTCATGTTGTTTATTAAATTTTGTATTCTGTCAGCATTCCAATGCTTCAGAAATTATTGCGGTCATTTATGCTGGATGGCATACAAATACAAAGACTGTGGGATTTCCTGCCTCAAAGCATTTTGCAGCTTATGGGACCTTGTTCATACAACTTATTTTACAGACATATATGTAGACCTTTTGAATTCCCCTATGAGTCCTTCTCACAGGTACCATGAAGACTCAACAAATGTGTTTAACAAATGGTTGACAGGAAAAGGCTGTGATTGCGGCTGATCAGATTTTATGTATCTGGTGACTTTTTGGACCTGATTCATGTAATGAATGCAGGCGGCAAGGCTGGTGATTGACTCTCAGAGATGTTGGGTCTGTTCTTAGAAGAATATTCAGATTGTTTGAAATCCCAATTTAAAAAAAAAGGAAAACAAACCCAGAACCAAACAAACCCTCATTCAGTAAAGTTGTAGATATGGAAACAATTCACAAAGACTGGAGTCTTTACAGGCCACCTAAGTAGCAAATTCTTACGGGCATTTGAAAGCAAGCATTGCAGTCAAACTTGTTTATATTTCCAGATACCCTGTTTTTACAGCGGTTAGTTGTAGGTGCACTTACACTGACTGCACAAAATTCTGTGCAACAAAAATCAGCTTGCAAGGGCAATGTGTAATGAAATTGTATTAAGCGAGGGAAAAAACCCACAGCAAAAGCCTTTTTAATTTCTAAATGTTTTACTTCAGAAATTTTATATAGCTATCGTGATGATGGACTCGTCAGTGATACTATACCGAAATTAAATACTTAGTGACAACTAAGTGTGGAGATTACAAAGGACTAAGTTTTAATTGAACATCTTTTTTCATCAGCATTCGGTCTATTCAAATTAGTAGTTTTAACTATTGTACTCTCGTGCAAAACACTGAAATATTTTGTCAGATGTAGATTTAAATTAGTTACGGCTAAGAAAATTTTTCTCATTCTTAAATCTGATACCAATTTCCCGTCTTTCATGTCTCCCCCTCTATTGCCACAGCGTTGTGTTTTTCCTTTCTCCTCTTGCCTCAGCAACTGCAAAATATTTTCCATCTTGCTTTATTATCACAGCATTAGGGTGCAATTTGGTATTTGTATAGATAGCATTGATTGCTTCATTTGATCTGCGCAAAGATTTTTTAGTCTACCACCTTAAATTCCCTTTTCTTCCTCTCCCATCTTTGAATTTAACTCGGCTGAAATTGAGTGGTTCACCCTTTTTTTTTTTCCTTCTCCCTTCCCTCCCCCCCATCTTTCTAAATTCAATCACATAAAAAATCCTGAGGGCAGTTTATCACATTATGAAATACAGACAGCCTGCAAACCACCTACTTATTATATTTTCTTTCTTTTTTTTTTCAGTTTAGCACAGAGGCATATCTGTCTTTATTTGTTTTTCTGGGCAGACAGCCTTGGTTCCTCTCAGGTTCTTTTCCAGATGTACTTGCTTGATGCCCTTGTAATGGAAAGCAGGCAATAATGCAGTGAAGTTGCCCTTCGGCGTAATTGGGCCTAGTTTTCAAGATCAGGTTAGGCTTATTCACTTATTAGATTTGCGTCTCAAAGGGTTCAAGAGCAGGACTCCCTGGAGTCCTTGGAAGTACTGTAGTAATTGGTGGCCCTGATATTTGAAACCTTTGTGTATTTTTCTGTTAAAGCTTCTGTTCTTCTTGGCTGCTCCTAGCCACAGAGTATTTATTTTTAGAGAAATTTTTCAGTGGAACAGAAAATGATGTGTGATGGAGTCATGACTCTGTGACTTAGCAAATTGATAGAAGGATAAACGTGCAGAAAGCAGTGGTCGTGAGTGTGCTTGTGTGTCTGGGGGCAGGGCGAGGGGGAAGAGCATCTCTTTTCCCACTGCTTGTGTGATGCTCATCATCAGTCATCCTGTGTTGATTTTGATAGAAGACTATTAAAGTGAAACCTATGGGGAATTTGTCATTCTGAAAGGAAAGCTAATGTAATTAGTACCAATTAAAGTACATTTAGTAAATTGGATTTAATCTTAATTAAGCCTGCATAATGTTGCCAATTTTTAACAATTATGTTTGAGAACATAATTAATTTAAATTTTGGTAACTGAGTAAATAGCATTAGACTGGTAAAATTAGTAATTTTTTTTTTTAAAAGATGAGTGTAGGGTAAACTGTCACATATGATGTTATAGCCTAAAATGCTAAGCTGATTTTCGATATTCTGTATTAGGATCAATAGAGCTTCAAAATGGACACATTCCAGAAAAAAAGGCATTGAGTTAGGGATTTTGGGTTGAGTATGATCAGATATGTCTCTACAATTTTAAATTTCAATACCAGAATAATGTTTGAGTGTGTCTAAAAATGCCCCTTTCTTACTAAGTTGCTTTTTTAACATCTGTTTTTAAGAGGCTCAGCCTGTAGTTTATGAATGAATAGTTGATGTATTGCTCTGTGTTTCTAATATACTGTTGGTACTTGGTGGTGGTCATTTAGTTTAATTTCTGAAATTAGACTTTTAATGTTACGGTAAACAGTTTATTTAAATTGCTGTAATCAAATATGCTTGCTGAATGTTTTAAATCAGAATTGTAATCATCACTTAAAATAAGTGTCCATATTTGGCTACAGACAACAGATATTTGTGAATGGAACTAATGGAAAGCATAAATAAGATATAGTATTCACCTTTGACTATGTGTTTTAAAGGTGTCAATACATAAATTCTGATTCATGCTTTTTGGCTAGACCTTCGTCTTTGAACTAATTCACGTGCTAGAATGTCAGATTTCAGCATTTTTTGAAAGAAAATTTAAGTCTTTCAAGAAACTGGGTATTAAAAAATAAATGAAATGACTTTTTAAGATCACAGGGAAAAAAAAATCAGTCCAATCCATGTAAATTTTATTACAAGACTTGGTCAGCAACCATTTGAGTTCTGCTAAAATATTAATTGGATAGAAATGGAAGGGCTCTGCTAGCTGATAGGATGTCATAATCATAGCTGCGGTAGTCGATAGTAAATGATGATAAATGGCATTAGGAACCTTTTAGCAAACTGTAATAACTACGAGGAGGGAAGCAGTATGGATTTGCATTATATCTGATACCCTCTAGTACCAAGTGGATTGCCAATACTGCTTGTTAAGCATTTTCTAAGGGCAATAGGATATTGATTTCTGTCTTACAAGGAATAGCTCTATTTTCACCATTGAAAAGTATTGCAGGTTGTTGAGAAGAAATTGACTTGAAGAGGCTTGACTGCTGCCCATCATGGAGCAAATAAAGCAAAACTGCCGAAGCATGGTGGAGCAGCGAGATGGGGCCCTCAGCAATTTGTTGCTATTAATTTACCATGCTCGACAGCAAATCAATCGGCATCTACTTCATCTGCTGGAGAAAATGCTGTCCAGGGCAGATAAAAAGCCCTGCATGGTACAGGGAATAGACTGGATTGGCCAAATGGAGGCTGCAGTTAATGTGTAAATAAGTGAAATCAAGGCCACTGTTGCCGAGAAAGCTGTTTTTAATTAGGTTGGGGCTTTATAGTGAGCTATTTAAGAAAGTAGTATGGAGAGTAGGGGGAGATTTATTGCTGACTGAGTTAATATATGGGCTGTAATGACATCCTAGCCTTTAGCCTGCTTGCTTCTTAAGCATTAGTAAATTATTTTGGTAAAGGGGTGAGGATGGTAACCAGTTTGTTTA